TTCACCACATTTAAAACATAGCCCCTTTCTACTCCTCTCTTGAAATTCATCTTGTGACAGCTGAGACCCAACCTTTCTGATTCCTGAAGGATTTAGTTCAGTCACCCTTTTACCCATCTTTTCAAACCAAGCATTGAAATTCCTGTTGTCAGTAGCACCTTTACCAAAATTATTGAACCCCGAACTTCCAGCCTTATTCGTGTAACCCTCTCCCCATTGTTGATGCTTGCCAGCAATTGGTCCCTTTTCTCTTCCCCCATATTTTTCATTTTCCTGTCTTTGCAATTGGATAGCTCATTCTTTCTTTCTATCAGCAAGGCCTAATCCATTATTTCAGCTAATGATCTGGATTTAAACAATTCCAGCTCAGCTTTAATATCCTTCTTTAATCCAGTAATAAAGATTCCTCGGAACAGGTCTTTATCCACAGTTCTTTGAGGTGCTATGACCATCTCAAATTCATCCCTGTATGCCCTTACAGTCCCTGTTTGTTTCAGACTTAGCATTGGTCCAAAAGGATTCTGCAGTAAATCAGGTTGGAACCTACTGATAACAGCATCTTTAAGATTCTCCCAATTCTTTTCTTCAGCCCGATGTTCCCACCATTGGAACCAATTTAGAGCTCTATCTTCCATAGCAACTATTGATAATTCTACTTTGTCAATTTTAGCAATTTGATTTAGTCTAAAATATCTCTCCATCCTTATCAGCCAGTTGTAAGCCCCATCACCATTGAACAGGGGTAAATCAACTTTTCGACCAGTAAAAACAGGATTTCTAGTATACTCCTCCTGTCGATTGTGCTTATGATGATGTGAGTGTCTGAAATTACCTCCTGATGATACTGGACTGTGCCAAGGTGGTGATTGGTGACGATGACTGGATCGCGATCTTCTCCTCTCACATAATTCGTCATTCATCGCATCCATCTTTTCTGCCAAAGTCGCGATCATCGTTTGCATCCGCGATAAAGTTTCTTCTGTCGTAACTTGGCCACGTTCGATCGCGACCTGATTCCTCTCCATTGCTTCCATTCTTTGTTCCATCTTTGCTCTCGTACGAAACATTCACAGTCGGTACGAAAAAATTCTGATGACCTTCCACACAATTTCCGATCACCAAAAGGTTCTCTGATACCAATGATAAGATACTGGTAGAAATTAGAGTGAAAACAATAGCTAATTCAAGAGAAAATTAGCAAAGAGCATATCAATTAGGTTTTAATGATGAAAAGAAAATCACAGAGTACGTATACAAGCTCCATGACAGTTCGAGATGCCCCAATCTCCTACAACCACCAACAACTGAAATAACAGCCTGATAATATAGTTCTATCATTTCTATTTATAGTCCCCTTCCACGCAGGGAAAGTATACAGTCAGTTAACAAACTTCTTACTAACTAACTAATTAACTACCCCCTTATTCCTCCTTTGATAGACTCTTTTGAAATATTTAATAGGCTGACCACTCGTATGCTTATCAGGTACTTTATTGATGGTATGCCATAAGATCTCCATTATCGGATGGTATCGATCACGAGGTTCCTCTTTCTATAGAAAGCTAGAATCACTTGAACTAAACCCGTGATTAAGCTTCCTTTGGGCTTCGACCTCACATAGAATGGGGAACCCAAGAGGATGAAAGTTGTAGCAAATAGCATAAGCAAGGCAAGGATTCCAAAACCAATTTCCCATCCCATGTTCTCTTGAATATAAACCAAACAAGTCATGGAAACAAGAACAGATACCATGTTAACAGCATAATAACAGCCAAAGTAGCTTTCCATTGCTCTCCCATTCTTTTGGATATTCTTTAACTGATCAATTCCAAATGCCAAGGAAGAAGATTTTACTCCCCCTGAACCAATGGATATAAGAATAAAGAAGAGGTATAAAAGCAGAAGTTGGAGAACTGATGCAGAAGGGCAAATGGTGTTAGCTTCAGTGCAGGGAGGCGGCCTTGCTTGTGGTAGAATAGTTGTTAGCCAAAACAGAAGTATTCCCTGCCAAAAAACACATGAATTACTTCAAACAGATAAGAGTTTTATCCCCTTACTAAAAAAATCTTATTTCTACTCCATAAACTATTCATTTCCGAGAAATAAAAATCAGAATCACTACCTCTGTCTTACAAAGATGGATTTATAGTTATGTGTACACAGAGTACGAAATAATAGTTAGTGTGCTTATCACAATAAATTTGGTATTATCATATGTCAATACCTGAATACCATATATTGGTATTGCCTCATTGGTTATATACTTATATATGTTGCGTATTTAGTCTTGATAAAGTTCAATATTGGATTGGGGTCAGTAACATGGGGTGAGATAATTGGAAAACCTAAGAAAATAGTTTGTGAAGGTTTATGAAAAAATGCATGTGTAATGTGTGAACGTTTGTAGGGATATGCAAGAATGTAATACACTAGTGAAATAAACAAAGTAAACTATATTTAATCAGAAGTGGGACTTTTAGACCATGTACCCAATTGAACCATGTAGCAATACACTTGTGCCAAACCACACTAAAAGATAGAATCGTATTTATAAACTAGTTCAATCCATAGTATAATTAACTCATCATTTTATTTTACTCATCAATAGAGTCTTATAGCATACTTGGGGTTTCATCTTATAGTTTAACCCGCTAAGAGGAGGGGTCCAATGTCCATATATTTAACTGTATAGTTTTTGCTCAGGTTCAATGTCCATATATTTAACAGTATGGTTTATACTGTAATTAGTATTCAATGTGTCATTTATCTCTTAGGCCCTTTGTGTGTAAAAATGAAGTAGTCAATTGACAGAAAGGCCAAAACATATCCTAGAGAAGATTGAAAGGTGTGATAAATGAACACTACAAATTAAATGAAAAGTTGTCTACAAATATAAGTGAAACTAGCTAGGATGTATAAGGGAGTAAGGGCATATCATGTGGAACAAGGTCACCATTTCAAGTGGTGGAACTGTAAAAAACTTACCAAAAGGTTCATAACACATCCGATCATCTGAAACCGACCTACAAAAGAATCTGCCATTAAAGCTGCAACAACGGGGGTGATATTCGAAGCTGCATTCCACCAATAGAGCACATTTAAGCCAGTAGCCATATCCATTCGATACTCCCTCATCAGATAAAGTATCATGTTGGGAGTTAACCCACAATTCGCCATCCCCGTCAATGCCAGATTTCCTGTCCATTACCCCAATGTAGCAAGATAAATATATAATTCCAGTGGACAAGGTAATAAAACTAGCTCCATGTAGCTTACAATATATTAACTCAGGACTTCTTCACTTTTAGAAGGCCTTCTTCTAATTATTAAGATTAGGCTTTTATAAAAACTAAGCGCACTTTTTATTCAGACACATGTTTCAAAAGTATTGTATACGATAGTAATATTCAATTTTACTAGCTCAAAGATAGGTTCTTAATTTCATATTTACTAAATCCAGTCTCATATTAGACTTGACAAATCGAGACCAAACTTAAATAAACTTGACCAAACAAGAACATACTAGGATCAGTGTTCTAAAAGGTGTGAGGCGTGGCAAGGCGGCAAGGCCAAGTCTCAAGCCTTTGAAGCCTAGGCGGGAATAGGCGAAGCATAGGCGTGAAAAAGTGTTTTAGATTTCTATTGATAATTACTACGTAGCATTTTATAATGATATATGAAGAAATAATAATAAATGTTCAAAAATTATATACATGATTGAGTATAATTTTTACTATATTAAATATATACAATTTTTAAATGTATAAAAAGTGCAAATATAAAATGATACTCCGTATATTGTTACTTTTTATTACTCCGTATGAGATTGGATATATAACATGTTCATTAAAGTGATTTTTTAAATCTATTCAATTTTTTTTGCAAAAAAAAAAAATCATCTAAAAAACTTCCGCTTTTTCATGCCATTGGTGGTCAACTCTTCAGTTGACCACCTTTGTTACACCTGTCTAAAATGAAGGGTGTTTTCCCGCCGCCTCACTCTTAGGTGCGCCTAGGCCCCGTTTTTTGCTGCCTTTAAGAACACTGACTAGAACATATAAAATCAAGTCAGAATAATGATGTTTTCACTTGTACTTATTTCATTATGGAACCACATAGGAAAAAAAAATACACATACACAAAACATTCAGGCCGGATTTAAAAAAACTAGATGTAAATAGACTAGATCAAATCAAACTATACCATGAATTTCAATCCAAGTGATAACATCTTTAGATCTTAGATAATGGTGAGATACAAAAAAGTAACACTACTAAAAAACAGCCTATAGTGACACAAAGTTAGTGTCAATTAAAGTTTCACTGACACATGGTAAACATCACAAAAGGTCAAAAATTATCACATGAGATTTAGTGTCACAGGTAGAGTGTCACAGGTAGAGTATCATAAAATATTATGATAAAATATTATCACTAAATATTTTGACATGTTAGTATCAACTAAATGCTTTCTCCGTTCTTTTTTAGTTGCAATTTTCCAACTTTCACGTTTGCCAACACACAAGTTTGACCATTAATTTATTTCATTCCTTATTAGTAAACAATTCAAAAATTCAGATTTTGAAAATTTAAAATGAAAGGAATTTAATCATTCTTTTCAAAAATTTAATTTATAATACATTAATAAATATAATGTGGTCAAAGTAGAGCATGTGAATAGTGTAAAATTCACCAATGTTGCGATTAAAGAAGAACAGAGATAGTATATCAATTGGTATCACCTATTGTTGAATATATATGATACATTGGTATCACCTTTTGTTGAATATATACATTTTTGGCTCAACTTGATCTGATCTTATAATAAGTATAGAGGAGTTGAAAATTATTTAAATATCAGAAGTTGAAAAACCTGAATGGGATGACCTTATATTACTTTCAAATACTACCAGTTATATGTACAGAATAGGAAAAGAGATACAAAATTATGGGGAGAGCCCTATAGATAGAGTAATTACATCCATGCATTCCATGACCTACCAGAAAGCACATTAATGCTTAATCTGGTGTTTGGGTGATGTCATTTGGAGGAAGAGATAGCCTATTCTGCATCAGCTATTCTGCTGGAACCATGACTTTTGAGGAGCCTCAAGAATGTGGCTGGGCCACTTTTATTAATGGATATACTGCCACCTCTGGCATAGAAGAGAATATATTCTCCATTGAATGAATGTATTTTAGAGGTTACCCATAATCAGGACTAAGATGCTCGACCCTCTCCTCTGGGCATTTTTTTTTATGCATGGTCTTCAACGTCCTTCAACTGATAGTAGCGAGGAGCTATTTCTACAAACCATTCAGGCTTTACTAGGGATGGCAATTTAACCCGACCCGATGGATATCCGCACCGAACCGAACCGGTCAAAATGGGGAAAACCGTTTTGACTGGGTAACGGGTACGGGGCGGGGAATACCCGATTTATGTAAACGGGTAATGGGGCGGTTATGGGTTTATACCTACCCGCCCCGTTACCCGCCCCGTTACCCGCCCCGTTTAATTTGGATACGGTTACCCGCACCATTACCCGACCCGTACAATTAACTTATATATTTTAATAGTTTATGTATTTATTATTTAATATATTAAGTATATATGAATATTAGTACATTAGTATATGACACTTATTCCCTCTAGTACTTTGAAACAATATTCAACTTATCGGCTATCCTTTGCAATTCTGATGATCGAGTTGGTGCGCAAAGTTCACTATTTTAGATTTTAAATTTTCAATCATTCATCATCCTTCCTTTGTTAACTTCTATAATATTCCTTCAAAAAAACTTCTACAATATTTTTTTTCTTCACATATTGATTATTTGATTTTTGTGACTTTCTTTACGCAATTTCCACATTGTGACTCTCTTAGTTTTTCACCCAATAACTTTCATAAAACTCACGTATGAGTTTAAAGTCAAAATATTGCGAAACATTACTCTAGGTTGCTTTAATTTATGTAATTGCTAATAATTTTGTAAAGGTGTATTGGATGATTAGATTAATTTTGATTGGTTGCTCTAATTTATATCAAGTTTTAAAATTTAAATTATGTTTTTTTCTAAAACAGTAACTACAAGAATACCTAAATCATAGTATTAGAAGTGCCTTTTAAATAATTCCAAATCTATAATCAAAATAAAAGTTGTGGACAAAAATGCGACTCTAGTAACTTCAGTGTATAATTTTATTCAAATGTTATGTCGTAGTGATTACAAAACTTACTCATGGTAACTTATAGTCATATTTACGTTCATATCTTTTTTATTAGAGGTATTTTAGGGGAAAAACTTCCCATTTTCATTATGTTACTTGTATACATTATTGTTCTTAAATTAATTTAGATGTTGAATGTTGGTGGGGGTATGCTTATTGAATGTTTGGAAGTTAAATGTTTTTGTGATTCATATTTAGTTTTTACTATCGAGACAAGACTTACTCTTTTGATGTTGATGTGGTAAGAGATTCAATTTGAATCTAGACATATATAATTTGTGAATGTTAGATTCAAACGATTTTAACTTTTTGTCATGTTTTAAAAGACTTTATCTGTGGTACTATTTCATTTTAATTTTTTTAATTTAGGTGGTCAATGATAAGTAGTTAATAATCATTTTAGGATCTATACTAATTTTGAAGGAAAAAAATTATTTTTTAATAAACGGTTACCCGCGGGGAAACCGTTACCCGCGGGGAAAACCGTTACCCGCGGGTAAAAATACCCGACGGGTAACGGGGCGGTTTCGGGGAATTTTTTTATCAAACGGGGCGGGTACGGGTAATGGTATACCCGACCCCGAACCGCCCCGTTGCCATCCCTAGGCTTTACTTCAGTAACCTGTCGCATATACTCTTTGGTTGTATGAACAAGCTCATGATAGACAACACATCTAGGAAGAACCTGTGCTAGACCTGAACTGGGATGGATATGAACAGTTAAGGGAAGCTTAACAGTTTCATAACTTCCATTCTTTTGCAGCCTTGCTGAGTGAGGAAAAAATCCAGATGTAATGGACTTCTTTATAGCATCTAGATCATTGAGATTTGAAGTCAATTCAATTTCTACTCTTTCTAGAAGGCTCTCTAACTGGTCTCTGATGTCTCTAGCTCTTTTCATGCTTCTGACCTGAATGTAGTTCTCATAGCACCACTGGGTTGAAAAGTTGGTTTCTTTCCATGAGTTGTAAACCTTCAGTAATGCAACATGATCTCCAACATTGCCCATATGGAAATTCAACCTTGCATTGTCAGCATGCACTTGTTTGTCCTTTGGACGATAAAAGACCGAATTTCCAATAGACAGCATTGCTGCAATACTTATGATCTCATCAGAGCATTTATACTTGTCAGAAGCAACAATCATCTTGGAGAGCATGGGGTCAAGAGGGAACTCGGCCATTCTTCTGCCAACTTTAGTCAGTTCACCATGCTTACTAAGAGCACTTAGAGCAAAGAGCACTTCCAGTGCTTTTAGTAGAGCTTCAATAGGTGGTGGATCCATAAAATGAAAGTTCAGCAAGTCATGAATGCCCAGACTCTTAAGAGAAAGCACAACATTAGCCAAGTTGGTCCTTTGAATCTCTGGAACAATATTATCCTCCAAATCATTTAAAAAGTTATAAGCAGTGTACAGCCGGAAACACTTCCCAGGCCCTGTTCGTCCAGAACGGCCAGCCCGTTGGTTAGCAGATGCTTTTGAAATAGGAGAGATATGTAATGATTCCATGCCGGTACGAGGGTTATATGTCTTCACCTTACAAAATCCAGGATCAATTACGTATTTTATCCCATCAATAGTCAGCGAAGTCTAGGCAATATTTGTAGCAAGGACAACCTTGTGTGCCCTTTCAGGAGTAGCTTCAAAAATTTTGGCTTGTAGTTCTGTTGGAAGGTTTGCATATATTGGGCATATAATTAGCTCGGCTATTTTTGTTCCCAGGCCCTTGATCCTATGTTTAATGATCTCCTCAGCTGTCTCAATCTCCTCCTGCCCAGTTAAAAAAACTAATATATCACCATCACCAGGGGGTTGTGTCGCATGTATCTGAAGGGCAGTAACAATTGCTGCATCCAAATAATTTGCCTCGGGCGCTATCGTATAATGTATATCCACTGGAAACCGCCTTCCAGGTATTTTAAAAATGGGAGCTTCATCAAAAAAGTCACTGAACTTCTCGGCATCAAGGGTAGCACTTGATATAAGCAACTTGAGGTCACGACGGAAACAGGCAATATCCTTAACCAAGCCAAAAAGAATATCAGTTGATAATGTTCTTTCGTGTGCCTCATCCACCATGATTACACTGTAACTTGCCAAATCAGGTCCCCCAAGGAACTCACGCAATAACATCCCATCAGTCATATATTTTAGAATGGTCTTCTCTGAAGTACAATTTTCAAACCTGATTGAGTAGCCCACCTCATGTCCAAGTTTGACTCCCATTTCTTGTGAAACACGGGCAGAAACACTCATGGCAGCAACTCGGCGTGGCTGCGTACATCCCACCTTGCCACTTTTGGTGTACCCTGCCTCATGCAAGTACTGAGGTATCTGAGTAGTCTTGCCAGAACCTGTCTCTCCGACAATGACTAGAACCTGGTGCTCATCGATAGCTTGCACCAACTCATCACGATAAGGATAGATAGGCAAAGTTTTCCTGTCTGCTTGCAGTTTCTCAAATGCTGATTTAGCAACAGAAACTTCTAGTTCCTCAATGGAGGACTCGTGATCAACATTAACGCCATCCATAACTGCTGCTTTGATGAACTCTATCTGGTCTTCAAACACAAATTAGTAATCATCAGATTTTGCCTTGCGGTCTTTAGAACCAAATTTGAGTGTAGCTTTTCCTATTTGGTGATCCTCCCATGCTTCTTATTCAGCAAAAGGGTTCATATTATCATTGGCATCAGGATCCCTGTAGCGTTTCAGTGCAACAGCAAACCTTTGCTCTTGATTTACACCGCCTTCAAGATCATATGCATCGGGAATCCTATACTCATTTTTGCCATCATCCTCCTCGGCCCGCTTCTTGATTAGATCATATAACTCCCTCTTGCACCTCATGTCCTTATATTCTGCTTCAGTTAGCTTCATCCCATCAATTAAGTACTGCTCATCTTCTATCTCATCTCTGAGTTCATCTAATTTCTTTTGCTCTCTTTTCTTAAGATACTCTTGCCTTGAGACTTTCCTCAAAGTTCCAATCTCATCTTGCTCCAAAGCATTAGACCTTCTGATTGCCTCTTCTTCCTCCTTTCTGGATAACTTTTTATCAGTCAACTTTCTTGTTGATGCAGCATCTCTTTCTCTGATATGTATCTCCAACTCTTCCCGCTCTTTTTTATCACGCAGTCTTTCCTCCTCTGACTCAGAACCACTATCACCACCATTATCCTGACCATCATCATTGGAAGTTCGTCTCCTTACTTGTCTTTCCTCTTCTACTTCTCTTATCTCTTCTTCATCTTCAAAAGCTTCAGAAACCACCCTCCTTCTAAATCTCTTTCCATGGCCCTTCCTCCCAGCTTCTGAAGACACATGAGCATTGCTACTAACATCAGCATCATCATCACCACCCTCCTCTATTATTGTGTAGGTCTTTTGTTTCCTTGCAAACATCGCTGCCTCCCTTTCTTTATGTTGATATAGATTTGGCCCTGAAGCCTTGTGCTCAACTCTACACAAAATTTCTTGTGCAAAATCCTTTGACTCATAGGTTGATGGTACTCCCACTTCACTGAGCATGCTAGAAAGCTCGTTAGGAGAGGAAGCTTTCTTAGCTAAGCCAATTACATAATTCACAAGTGTGCTTTGGGAATAACCCAAAACCGATATGAGAGTATCTGATACCCACTTTTTCAAATCACTTCCCATTGTGCTGCACAGCTTATGTAGTTGAATGACGCAACAGCTGAGTAAAAGCTTTCCTTTTTATCCTACTTTATCTGTATGGATTAGGCTTGAAGACGCACCCAAATTGGGAAGATGGTCTGAAGTGCGGAGCTCCAAAGGGATGAAAAAAGTAGAAACGAAGCAGAGTCCTGAAACAAATCTGACCTTATATAAGAAGTCGCCGAGCGTAGCAGATGACACCGGAGTCCAAGACGGCCGGGTCTCCGAACACAGGAGATGACGCTCAAGTCCAAGATGGTCGGGTCACCATCCGGCGCCTGGTAGCAGGGAGATCAAATATGGGCTTGTTTGTGATCAATTAAAAAAGTGATTTTGGTTTTTTTTTTTTTTTTTTTTAAGAAAAAAGCACTTATTTTACCGAACACTATCAACTTTTACTTCCTCGGTTTTCATATACAATCTACTTTTTACTTTTTTTATTACACAAAAGCACTTATTTTACCTAACACTACCGACTTTTACTATTAATCACTTTTTCCCAAAAAGTACTTTTATTTAAGCACAAGTGGTTGCAAACAGAACCTATGTGGCTTCGCGAGGAGATGAAGCTGATTCGCGAGAAGGGGTTTGGCGCAGTAGATGGAACTAGGGTTGGGACCGGTTCGGTTCTTACTCAAAATGAGTGGAACCGTTATAAAAGTTTTAACTAATGAAATCGGTTCGGTTCCTATATAAAAAATCAGGAACCGTTATGGAACCGAACCGGTAGTAAACGGTTCGGTTCTTCCTTTTACCGGTTCCTAGAATAATTTTTTCTCGTCTAAGAATTAACACATAATTTTAAACACGAGTATTATTTGAAGCTCTAATTACTTCAAACATTAAAGCTCAAACTTAACTAATGAACTTTGAACACTTAATAGAACAAAAGTGATTTAAATTTTCATGTAATAAATGAAACATTAAAAATCGTTGTAGTGTCGGAGCGATGAAGGTTACTCGCCATCATAGTAGCAAGAATAAGACGTCTACTTCAAGTCTTTCAAAACATTAAAAAAAAGGCATTGAGTTTGCATGTATAGATATAAAAAAATATTATCACATTCTATTGATTCATAATAAATCTAAATTAAAAACATGTGCAATCAACTACAAGTTATTTGAGTTATTTTATATTTATAAAATTTATGTGATGGAACAAAACTTGATTTGTAGAAAGAAGTTTAATGTATACATCAACCTCATGTACAATATTTATTACTTCTTTTCCGTTGATTAAATTAGAATTGTTAGTTAAATATCTTATATTATTTTATTATTGTTGTTGTGGTGGTGGTTATTATTGCTATTATATTATTATTGTTATTGTTACTACTACTACAACTACTACTAATATTATTTTATTTTTTATTTTTTTAATAACGGTTCCTTATCGGTTCCATGCACATATTTTTTATAGGAACCGGGAACCGAACCGTTATAACCCGCTTCGGTTCGGTTCCTACAAATGAGGCATTAATTGTTAACGGTTCGGTTCCTAGATGTTGTTAACGGTTCGGTTCCAATCGGTTCTACGGTTCCCGGTTCCAAAATCTCACCCCTAGATGGGGATCCGGCGTCTCTGCCTTGGTTAAGCAGCCAAGGAGGGTGCCTGGCTGTTTTCATCCATCAGATCAAAAAATGAAGAGTTGAAGATGAAGGACTCCATTTTTTGCACGAATCCTTAAGGCAGAGGATCCCAATCCCCTAGATGGAACTTGGTTTTGATTTCGTTTTTGTGGAACATAAATGCGCCTGTTCTGCACGGCGTTTTACGAGCGGATCAAATTGTCCAATTTTTAATTGTACGGGACACCGACAAGTTTTGCGTTTGTTTGCTTCTTTGCTAAGACATTGTTTGCTTGTTTTGCCAAGACAAATGAGTTTCTTCGTAAAAGATCGATCAAATAACGTCGATCAAATTGTTTGTAATGAATAATATCATACATTATTCCTATCCTTCAAAATTTTCAAACACTAAAATTTCGAACATATAAAATATAATTCGTATAAGGGAGTGTTTGCAACCATTTCTGCTTAAAAACCCACTTTTGGAAGTGGTTTTAGAAAAAATGATTAGTAGTAAAAGTTGATAGTGTTTGAGAAAAAAGTGATTATGAAAAGTAAAACTTGATAGTGTTTGAAAAAAAAAGTGATTTTGAAAAGTAAAAGTTGGTAGTGTTTGCTGAATAAGTGCTTTTTGTGTAATAGAAAAAGTAAAAAGCACTTTTTGCATAGAAGCCGAGAAACTCTTTTTTAAGTAGAAGTTGTCATTCGAAAACATTAATTTTACCCTTTTTAAACCAAAAGCCGATAAGTGCTTTTTCTAAGCTGTTGCAAACACTCCCTAAAGGGTTCGAGACCAACCAAGCTGTCACTGCGGCCGTCTCCCTTGAATAAGGGTTTCCAGTTTTTGTCGTCTTGTGTGCGGCGTTTAGTTTTAGTCGTCCATTGATGTGACGATTAGTTTAGCAGAGAAGGAAAATGTTCGCACGAATATCGCTAGGCGTGCTGTGGCGGCCGATGGAGATCAGAAGGAGTTGCGGGAGTCCAGGGGGGATAAAGGGATGCGTCCAGGGGGACTGAAATTGGGGGGCAAACAGAGGTTGCACGTCAAGGAATCAATCAAGCAACGGGCGGGAGCCGTGCCTTGTTCGTGTCAACAATCATAACGATGCTCTGGCCTCCTCTTAAACTACCGCCATGGGTTGAACTATGTGCTAGGGTTTCAAGATACTTATTTTGCTTATTTAGTTTTTTTCATGTTTCGTTTTCCTATTAGTTCTTATTATCGACTATGTTATTAGGTTTGTCAGTTTGTTTAGGAATTTAGCCTCTTTTTATGTCATTGGGTATGTTTGGATCTATGGGAACATGGATGGCAGTGTCAAGCCCGCTGCATGGTTAGCGATTCGTGTTGCTCTTCCAAGGGTGACCGTCTCTGAGTCTGATCATAGGGTTTACAGTCGTAATTGTTGGAGTTTAATTGGTGTCAGATTTGTTTTTTCTTTGATTGATGTAATGATTCTGAAACTTATGATATGAATAGAGGCAAGTTTCCGTTCAAAAAAATGGATAATGTCATACAAGCATACTACGTATATGGGCTTTGGAATTTGGATACGGCCTTCGGTAATAAAAGGTATTGCCGTATATATATGTTTTAGGGATTTTTTCACAAACAGACCAAAAACTGAAATAATATCACAATTTTCACTCTTGAATGTTATTTTCAAAAATGGCCTAGCTATCATTTTCTTTTCAAAAAAAGACCTGAACTCCACAACGGTAAAACCGCCTCACTCTTGCTCCGTAATTCGTAAAGCCCCACTTAACTCTTAAGTGTATGGACATACGGATTATACTATGTACCGCGTTACTTTCCACTTAGAGATGATATAAAGAAAAAAAGAATATGTATAAATTGAACATTTTCTCAAAATTAGAAATTATAAAATAATAAATTGATAAAAATAAATAAAAATAAATAATCAAATAAAAATAATAACTAAATTTTAATTAAAAAATCATCAAAATAATTGGAATTGTTTTAAATGAAGAAATCTTAAAAAAAAAATGAAAAATAACAATAATACTAACAAGTATAGACAAAACTCTCAAAAATATTAAATTGTAAAAATGAAAAAATAAAAAAATCAAAATTCAGAAATTCATGATAATTATGTAACACCCTGGCCCCGCAGGGTCCAAGTAGTTACTCCAGACCTCTAGTACTGTCCTCACAAACCACCACGAGCCTTTACCGCGCACTTTGTCCTCACTCGTGCAAGCACGCTTAACTTTGGAGTTCTTGGGTGATGAGCTCCCTTAAAAGGAGATGCACCTCTGTTGGTATGAGTAGTACTATTAATCCGTTTATATTAAATCTCAAGTGTTACAATTATGAAAGCAAAAATATTTTTAAATTTTAAAATTAGAAATATGTATATCCAATACGTTTATAAAAATCCAAAAGAAAAAGAGAAAATAAAAAAAATTTAACTTTTTAAATAGTAAAAAATGTAGAAAGATATGTTAAAAATACAAAAAACATAAGTTTTGTTTATTTATTATTTGTGAAACATTTATTATTACTATTATTGTATTATTATTATTTTTTTGTTGCATTTTGTTTCTTTGTGTTGCTTTGTGTTGCTAGTTTTTTATATTTTGTTTTTATTGTTTAGTCATGTTTCTTATTGTTTAATTTTTTTAGAACAACAATTTTAGTATTAGACGTGTGTACACAAACCGGAACGCATACATCAAGTGGATAGAGTTGTTAAATACAAAAGTAAACATACACTAACAATAAACACTTAGAGAGGGTTTGGGTTACTTAGTGAGGATTTTATTACTACACTTTGGGTTGGGTGATTGTTTGCTTGTTCGTTTTCGTTGTTTGCTTTTGTTTTACTTTTTTCTTAAAAAAAAACTAACAATAAACAATCCAACAAAAATAAAAAATAAAATAAAAGTGTAAAATGAGTAACATAAAACAACACAATGCAACAAAATGAAACATGATGCAACAAGAAGCAACAATATGAAACAAAAAGCAACATGTAAAATGCAACAAAAAGCAACAAAAAACAATATGTAAGATTATCACAACTAAATAACTCAATCTATTATTTCAATGTTTGCATCTATCCATTACACAGTGTATTATATAGAGAAAGCAAGCCTCAAATCGAAGAAGGGATATTGAACCAACTCAACCAAAGGGAGAGCATAATGAGCACAAGAAGTCAAGAACCAAACATCTTTTTGATAAGATTATTAACAATAAAACTTCAACAACGGCTAAGAATGGCCACAATTCATCATGATACATACTGAGAGTTTACTGCTGCTGATTCTGAGGAGGCTGCATTCCAAGACGGGGTGGGCCATAAAGACCACCTAGAGGCGGCATAGCATGGCGGGAGGTTGTACAGGGGGCATATATGCATCACAACATACAATTCTTTATGCTTGACACTTCCGTCTTCATTTTGTACGTTCATCCTTTGAATCTTCTTATCATCTTAGTGTATATATGTTTTCCTGCACCTACCCTGCAATGGTAATACATTAACTATGAAGACAATATAGCAGTCGGACTCTTGATCTATAACTACAAATAATGTTGTGTTATTTAAAAAAGAAATGCAGAATGACATGAAGAAGACATACTTGTATATCACCGATTTTAGGTTGTTTCTAAATGATTCATACTCCACATTAGAGTAACAAGGACAGAATTAATAAAAAACTGAATAAGAACAACAATT